ATCCAACCTCTCCCTTCAAATATCCCCTTTTCCTTACTCTGTGAAGGGCTCCTCAGTACCCAGGGCTGCTCTTGACACCATGTACTCCTCGCTCTTGTCACTAACAACCCACTTTCCTGGCAGACTCACAAGGTACTTGCCTACACAAAACCCTCCTGTGGCTTGTTTCCCTTACAATAAAAACTGAACACTGTGAAATTTCCACTATTTTTACAGAAGTTTCCTCTCTTGTAAGCTTCTAGAGCAGGCTCCCTCAGACCTGGCACCTGGCAGTGTCTACAGACATTTAAGGGTGCAGGGGGAAGTGCAACCCCATGTACTATCCTATGGCATAAGGACAGTTAGCACCAACAAAGAATTACTCACATTGTCCAGAAGGCAGCAATTATGAAATTCTGTTCTCAAATTCCCCTATGGTCCATGCTGCCTGCTCTCCCTGCCCCAGTATACCAAGCTCCTTTTGCTATGGGCCTTTACATTAGCTCAGATCTTTGCATGGAAACTATTACTTAATAAACATTTATTGAACACCCATTCTATGTTAAATAAAACAATAAATAAGAAATAAAGTCCATCTTTCTACAAATGCAAATAACTGGATAAAGTTGAACAGGAAAACAAATGATTTAATGTATAAGCAAAGAAAAAATCACGCAGGAAGACCTGACCAATACTAACCTTAATGGTGGATCTAGGTGGTGAATGGGCAAAGTCCTATAAGCTCTCTCAAGAAAGAACAAATATCTTCAACATTTAACACACGTATTCTGTACATAGCAAGCACTCAATGATTGCTCAAAAGGGTAAGTTCCTCAAAGTCTGCCAATGTCCCTGTCTACATGAACATAATACAAAAAATATTCTATTTTCTGAAACAAGATTAAGTACAAGAATACTGAGTGAAACTTCATTTCCCTTTGGAATTGTATAAACTGTGTTAATACAGAACAAAAAAAAATAATTTATGAATGAGTTTATAGAAATAAAACTCTACAAAAGAAAAAGGTTAGCTAGCGGCCTGAAGTTCACATTTGGTAAAAAGATAAGAGTCAGAAGAAGCACATATCCATGCAGAGACACAGAAAAATCATCATGCTAAGAGCCCACCCAGAACCAGACAACACAAGGGTTATTGGGACACTAATGGCCAAGGCAAAGTATTTGTATAGGGTGTGTGTGTGTGTGTGTGTGTGTGTGTGTGTGTGTTTGTATGTGTGTGTATGGATAGGACATGGATATAATATCTCCCATTCAAGAGCTCAAAATTAGAGAGGACTCCAACTTATGCAAAACTTATAATGTACTCTTAACAAAGCTACCACAGGCTTGAAGAAGACATGAGGACAAGCACAGGGGCTGAAGTGTATCAGTGTCAAGAATGAACCACAAAGATTCTTGAGGTGATGACTGCCAAACAGGGCTTTGATTACACCAGCTGTGAAATCTGTTTAGGCGGCCTGTTTCTCAACATTACCCACCTTACACAGCACTAGAACTGCACAGCTAAAGACAATAAACCCTTGCTACTGTGTGTACTAATTGAGTCTACCAAGTGGGATTATGGTAGGCCACCAAGAAGCTGAAAGTAGAAGTAAATTGTGGGCCTCACTTTAGAAAGGAGGTTTTGGAGACCCAGCCCAAGCCCAGGCCCGGTGAGCTGGTGGGAGAGCTTCCGTGCTCCTCTGCACCCATTGGACCCCTCTAGACACAGCCCAGGAGCAGCATGTGAGTGATAATTTCTGCCATGCTCTTGGGACCCCTCAGAAGTCCTCCAGAACCAGCCCAGCCCCAAGCCTGGCATGTGAGTGAGAACCTCTTCTGCACTCTCAGGAGTGCTCCAGACCCAGGCCAAGCCCAGGCCCCATGAGTGTGTGTGAGAGCTTCTGCACTACCCTGTGCCCATGGACCTCTCCAGACCCAGCCTAGGCCCAGCCTGTGAGTGAGAACTTCCACTGCACTCTCTGAACTCATACCTACATAGCCAAAGACCAAGTTCCTGAGCTTCCACACTCCACTGCACCAAGAGCTTCCGCACTCCACTGCACCCAATGGCCAGGCCCGGAGTGTGAGTGGCAACTTCTGCTACACTCAAGGGGCCCTACAAGACCCATCCCAAGCCCACTACTGAATGCATCCTTCTGTCCTACTCTCTAGACCCTTCCAGACCCAGCCCAGGCCTGTGGTGAAACTCTGCAGCTGAAGTCCCTGCAGAGAGGCTAAGAGCCAGAAACACCCAGCTAATCCAAGAGCAGAACATCTTGCCAGAGGGGCAAAACAGGTTCACTTCCAATGGCTGCAGCAGGAAGAAGCTGAGCACAGCAGCCAGACTCAAGTCTGGGTAAACTCAAACTTCATAGATCTGCACATGAATTTCAGTAGGTGCTAAGGTTATAACTGCAACAAAGCTCTACATCAAAGGCCAGAAGGCAGAGCTACATAAAATGACGAGAAGGAGCAAAATGCAATCTCAAACCCCAAGCCCACCTATAACAAGTGCAGAGGACACTAGCACAGAAGAAATTGGGAATCACACAGCTGAGACGTCTTAATTAATAGCGTCTGACATAAAGAAACAAATGCAGAAATATATAGAGGAAATCCAATCAGAAACAACCTCTGATGTAAGAAAAGAAAGGAAAACTATAATGAAACAATTAATAACTGCTTCAAAGAAGACACTGATAAAGAAATAGAGGAGATTAGAAAAACAATGGAATCCTTCAATAAGCAATGTAGGAAAGAAATATATCGCATGAAGCAGAACCAGAGATAGAGAGGAACTTAAAATCTCAATCACAAGCTTGCAAAACTGTTTGAGTGAAAGTGAAGATAGAGTTTCAGATCTTGAAGACACCATTGCAGCTAGTGAAAAGGTAAGTAAAGATCTCTTAAAAACAACAGGATGCAGGAAAAAATAATTCATCACCTGCAAGATGATGCAATGATTAACAACGTGAGACTAATGGGCAACAATGAGAAAGAAGGAGTCAATACAAATGATATAAAAAGAATATGGGCAGAAGTAATAGCAGAAAACTTCCCAAATATGGGGAAACTATCTGACATTCAGGTAACTGAAGCATGCAGAACTCCAAAGAACATCAACCCAATTAAGAACACAGCAGACATATAAAAGTGAATTTGCAGAAGTCCAGCAAAGAACAACACACTGAAAGCTGCTAGAGAAAAGAAACAGATCACATTTAAAGGAAAGCCCACCAGAAGAACAGCAGACTACTCTTCACAAACCATCAAGTCAAGAAGAACATGAACAGAGTACTTCACGTTCTCTATGAAAACAAATTCTAGCCCTGACTACTATGCCCTGCAAAACTCTCAATTTTGAGTAGGGAAATACTTCCATGACAAACAACAACTAAAGAATTTCAAGATGACAAAGCCAACAATCCACAGACTACTAAAAGATGTTCTAGAGAGGGACCAAAATGATCAGAGTTTCATGAATGTGAACAGAAGAAACTCACTAAATAGGGCACACAAAGACAGGAGAAAAAGGAGTAAACAACAGCAGGTAAATAACATGTCAATCATAAGTCAATACATCACAATTATAACCATCAACATAAATGGAATCAATTTCAACAACTAAAAGAAATAGACTGGCACAGTGGATTAGGAAACAAAATTAAACAGCATTCTGCACACAAAAACATACTTCACTCATAAAGAAATTCATAGGTTGAAAGTCAAAGGATAGAAAAACAGTACTGCATTCCCCAGCACCTCAGAAAAAAGCAGGGGTAGCCCTGATCACAAACAGTCTCAACTTCAAGAATGATCAAATGAAATTAAGAAGGTGACTGTACATGGCTGACACTGACAAAGGTTCTACAATCTGAGGTACAGGATCTCAGGATAAATCCTGAGGTCATTTCACTGACTTCTCAGACCAAAGAGCTACAACTCTTGTTGCACCGGTCCTGCTTTACCTTGTTCTTAACCATCCAGTAGAAAAGTATGAAGACGAAATATAGGAAGTAAAGCCATGCTGTTATGTTGAGTTGTGGGGGACTCAGGTCAATAATTTCTGACATTGCCAGTTAAACAGAAGACCCAATGCTATTATGGGCTACTGGACTCTTTTAGAATATTTTGCTGAGTTTACACACCTATAATATTCAATAACATAACTTAGAAAAAATGGGGTATACCGATGAATGTCCATTTTGTATCTGTGTATTCAAAGTGGTTAGGATAAATATATAGTTGCATTCTCTTAATGAATAGAATGATTTGTTCTAATAGTGTTTGTAAATAGGATATCAAGTCTGCATCTTGTACAGCAATTAACCACTAAGAAGAATATATGTAGTGTGTAATTTGTTGAAACTGTACTTCCGATTTGATTTGAAACTGTCTCATTGCTATCTGTTTATCAATAAAATTTTGGAAAAAATAAAAGAATAAATCCTCAGTTCCCCAACAAACCGAAATTATAAATGCTTAAAACAAAATATGAATTGCCCTGATTTAACCATTAAGCATTGCAACTAATCAAACTGAATCCCATAAATATGTACAATACTGCTTAATGATGCTGGAGATTAAACCCAGAGCCTGATGTAAACCAGGCAAGCCCTCTACCATTGTGCTACATCTCTGACTTCTAAACATTTTTTGAATACAAGAAAAGAATAAACTTGACTTAACAGAGAGATGATGCTCAGTATACCTTACTGAAATCTTTCATTGTCTTTCTTGTCTTCATCAAATACAATTATCATACTAAAATCACAGGCAGGATGACTATAGTTAATCATTAAACTATACTTACTCTTCAATAGTAGAAACATGACCTGAAACATTTTTTCAGGTGTAAATGTGTGTTCTTCCTAAGATATCATATCACGGATGTATGTCAACCTGAGGTGACCATCACTTCTAGAAAGTCTTAGGAACTTTGTGTATAGTGTAACTTCCAATAATCTCTTTGTTTTCACTCAATGTTTATGATGATACCTGTTATTACAGACACTTACCTTGAGCTTATGTTCTTTCCTGTTTACAATTACAGCAGTGATTTGCTGGTCCATGAAAATCAGAATGGTGACCAACAATGCAGGGATAGCAGCAGCCAGATACACCCACCAGGGGTTTCCTCCAAATGGGGGGATAAACCAGCCTCGATTTGGACTTGTTGGCTTATAGCAGAAAAAGAACACTTTTCAGTACAAAATCAAGTTAATACATGCTACTTGATGAAAATCAATGTATGTATCCTTATAGACACTTTTATTTTCAGGAAGACAACATGTTAGAACACAGAAACAGTTATAGGCTGGAGAAAGAGTATTCACCAAAAATCTTCCAAAACGATGCTGTTTTGAGGTAATATTTAAAGAAAAGAGAAAAAAGATGGGATGCTGAAATAGTTGGGGATTCCTTTTTTGTGTATTTGGGATAATTTAAGATAAGGACTCAGGATAAAACAAACTGACTTAAACTTAAGGGGTATGTATAAGAAAATCACATGCACAAATTCAGTGAAGCAATGATAAAGTCCATCATGACTTCTGTTTCTGAATTTTAGCAGATATACTGAAGCTGTTTATATTACTGTCAAATTATGATAGACTCATACATATAAAGAACTATAAATATGAATATGTTATAAAACTATTCTGATCCTCTTTTTTAACTTTAGTCATAAAAAATTATCCAGAACTGATTAAATCCTTGGAAGTATCAGGAAAATAGGAAATAGTAATTTTTCAAGTTTTCAACCCATCTTCTCTCAATAGATCATACACAACTACTACAGAAAAAACTTCCTATACATTTCCTTCTCTTACACAATTCAAATAAAGAAATTAAAATAGATTCTAACTACAATTCATTTTCTATTGAGAATGTCTCACTTCTTTCTGACAGTGTCCCACTGTCCACCTCCCTTGCTCACTCCATCACTGAACCTATCCACCTTTCTCCATCATTACTGTATAGCAGGTGCATAAGGGAAACACTGTCTTATTTATGAATGTATTTCAAGTCCCCAGCACAGAGTCAGATTGAAGGTAAACACTTCATAAATGTTGGCCTTAATGAATTAATAATGACTCACTGAATGAGAACTTGCTGATAAATATCTGCTGGCAGAGACAATGCCAAAGGTATTATTTGCTGTGATATCTATCTCTGTATCTGTGTGTGTGTGTGTGTGTGTGTGTGTGTGTGTATCCCTTCCCCACTGAGTAAACAGTAAAGTTGCATTGTGTTTGATACATCTTAGTACATGTATGATCTTGACTGTAAAAAGAGTAAGGGACTGGCCAAATAGCTCAGTGGATGAAAGCACCTGCGAGCAGGCACAGGGGCTAAGAGATCCCCGGGCCTGCCGTGCTGGCCCTGCCCCTGGGATGTGCTGTAAACCAGGGGATCACTATGAGTCCAATCTAATAGTGAGACACTGAACACCCTGTAGACCCTTCCCTAAAATACAAAATAAAGATAAAAATAAAAATAAAAAGAGTAAGAATTGTTCTAGAAAATTCACAAAATATTTATAATACAAACTTCATAATTTCAAAATGAACAAAATGGATATTTTTATCTGTTATACCTGCATATAAAAATATCCTTAAAATACATAATAGTAAAAAATAAGTAGTTCTAATGTTCTCTTTGGAACAGTTAAAATGCTCCATGTATGTGCATGTGGCCAGCAGGCAGTTGGGCAGTGTGTAAGAACACTGAACCAGAAATTTAGAGACTGGCAGCGGAACACTCACCCTTGACACCACTGGTTCAGCAATCATAGATATTTTACTTAATCTTTATGTACTTCAACCTCAATCTTATGAAATAAGAGTGAGGTTAGTTATGTTGCATTCTTCCTGAAATAATTATGTATGTGTATTAAGGTGATAAGGTATACTTCAAATATTTCAAAACATTTAAGAGTTCACTGAGGGAACACAGGACCACTGGGCTGCTTGAAACCTGCAGTGTAATCTTCAATGGTTCTACTGAGGCCTGAGTATATGGTGGAAACCTATTAGGATATTTCAATTATTCTTCTAGTCCAAAAGATCATAAACTTTGGATGTCCAGAGTTCATCACAATGAAAAGTAGTTTGTATGTATTACTCTCCCAGTCCTCACCTAGCAAGTCAAACATGACCATTCAAATACACTATAATCTAGAAATTTGGAGGAAGATTTTCTAACATATTATTTTAAAATAAAAATCAGTATGATGTGATCCATACATTTGATCCTAGTGTCTGCATTTAATCTTAGTGAAGAAATTAGACAATGTACATATGAGCCTAAAAAAGGAACTCTCTTGATAAAAAAGAGAAATGAATAATTATATAAAACTAATAGAGAGACACACAGTAAACTAGAACAGAAGAAAGGCAAGAAAGCTGAAGAACTCAAGGAACAATCAAGAGATTCACTTACCTTGAACTCACTTGGCACGATTAGTTTTGGAGTGTCCACACCTACCAGGGCATCTATTACACAAAACATGAGAATGGACAAAATAATGGCAAAATCACTGATCAATTTTCTTGCCTGGAAAAAATGAAAAAGAAACAAGGGACTATTTATCACCAAGTATATGTATTTTCCTATTTTTCAACTAAATCAAGAGCTCTGTATTTGCAACTAATTTACAGTAAGTTTCACCAACAAATTAACAAAGGTGTCCTACTACAAGCAGATTTTAAGCAATTGCTTTAGTATTATTTTATCACTTGGCCAGCCATAACATGATTTCATAGAAAAGCAAAGGAAGGTGTGTGTGTGTGTGTGTGTGTGTGTGTGTGTGTGTGTACATGTGAATGCAGAAAAGGCCAAACATAATGCATACTTGAAATAGTGCACAAGCTCTTGTCCTTTGTCCCTCACAAAAGACATGGGTAAGAATAAAATCTATGTGTATACTACACAAAAAACCAAATTCTCTTTATTTGGGAGACACTGTTATAAAAAGTTAACAATGTAATATCCCACAAATTAACCTGAAAACACCACAAATCTGTCAATTCCTGTCCATTAAGCAAGGCAAACACCAACATCAAGAGTAACATCTAATGAGGGAAATATCTGCACTAGCATTGTGCAAAAAATACTTTTCCTCACTCCAAGTTAGTGCTTGTAGTCTCCTGTATATCTCCTGTATATGCAGCTTTGCTGTCTGCCTCTTACGTGTAGTCACCATTACTGAGTTATCCTCCACATTTCTAGGTACTTGCTCTGGGCTTTCATGGGATATAGCATTAAACTGTGTCCTTTTCTATGAAGTGGAGCAGAATGGCCATTCACATGTCACTGAAGGAACACAGGACTACTGGACTGCTTGAAGCCTGAAGTGTAATTTTCAGTGGTTCTATGGAGACCTAAGTATATGTCAGGAACCTATTAGGATATTTCAACCATTCTTCTGGTCCAAAATATTATAAACTTTGGAGGGCCAGAGTTCATCACAAAGAAAAGTTTGTATTTATTATTCTCCCAGTCCTCACCTAGCAAGTCAATCCTGACCATTCAAATACACTATAAGTTATTCAAAGTAGGAATGTACTAAAAAGACAGACTTTTCCTTTTTTTCATGGATTAGGTACAAGGTCTAGAGGGTCTCACCACATAGATCAGACTCGTAGTGATTCTCCTGTTTTCAGCCTCCCAAGTGCTGGAATTACAAGCCCACGCCACCATGCCCAGTCTCAATCAGCATCTCTGTGTGCCTGGGGCGGGGAGAGGGCAGCACAGCATGCAGGGGATTGAATCCCCGGCCAGTGCATTCTGCCTAAGTTTCTTTTTCTTTTTAAATAAACAAAGGGAAATAAGAAAATAGAGAGCAGCGAGTCCAATCTGAAATTCTTTGTAGAAATCCCCATAGGATGGATATCTGTGGCCCTGCTAAAGGACAGATCTGCATGACTGGTGTTACCATTAGGCACTTGGAAAGTGCTACGTAAGTGTGAGAGGAGGCATTTTCAACCTCCTCTAAGTGGAACACCTTGCAAAGCCAGCAGAACAGACTAGCACCATTACTGCAGGTCCAACTGTAAGGTGTCTGACTTGGCCCCATCTATTCTGTGACACAGAGATCAAGATACACGATCAAGTGCCAACAAACAGAAAGCGCCCTTTATATTGTTTAAGCAATTACTGAAGATATGATAATGTTCACAGATAAATGGCCTTTCTTTTCATCCCAACATATCAACTGTAGTTTGATTTTCACTTTGGTTCAACAAATGTCCACTGTCAAAACTTGTATACTTATAACTTGTGTATTTTACTGTGTGAATTATGTCTCCATTGAAAATACAACCCAAATCTTGCCCCAAAATCCTAGAACTTCCAAATCCAAGTAAGTGTTGCTTTTCCAACTACTCTCTTGACAAGCTATCCATTTATTTTAAAGATGTTATGTCCCAAATAACTTTAAAATTGCTTTTATAATTTATTATTGAACAAAGACTAAGTAACAAATTAACTGTCAGACATGTTTGAAGGGTTTATGGTTTTGTCTTTAAAATTTGTGAGGTTTTTGTTTAAAATTAATACATGTTTATTTTAAGAAATTTAGAGAAAAAAATATTAGAGAAAAGGAAGTACATCTTAATTTCACTACCTAGGAATAAACCTTAACCTTTACAAACATATCGATTTTTCATATACTTATATACTGTGTTTGCATATCTGCCTTTTTATTTTTTCTATTTCACTTGATACTCTCTATAATCATGAGAATTAAAATTAAAACCTATAGCATTACTTTGAGTATATATCCCAAAACCTGTTTTTATAACATTGTATTGTTTAGATTGCTTTTAAGTAATTCCATAGGGAAATCTCTGTAAATATCTAAGACTGTTCCCTTATTATAAAGTTCTATTGGCAGATTACTTTGTCAATGTATATATAATAACTTAAGCCTTTAGGTACATAGGCCAAATTACCTTCTAAAATGCTATAACAATTTACCAGTTTTCATTCTACTCAACAATATACAAATGGCTATGAACATTGTTATATGTTAAATCCATACTCAAAGGGAAAATTGGTCATCACTGGTGATATTTTAAAAATATAACAGAAAATCTTAAAACTGTAATTTCTGCAGCTTAATGAATCAATTAAGTTTCTTGCTCCATTCTGAACTCTCGTATTTAGTATAGGTCCTCTGTAACCCACTAAAGATGACATTAATATATATTATTAATAATTTCTCATTAAATGTCTTAGACCAAATGTTACATGGGTAGAATAAACACAGAAATACCAAAGGATGCATAGTGGACTCCTACAGCAGAAAATGTGAATGGTAAGAGCCCAACCAACTAGTATAATTTTTCAAAAGCAACTAGCCAGAATATATCAGTCGTCATTTTCTGAACCAGGAGTACTTGATATTCTGAAAACATTTCAGAAACTACATCTAGTAGAGCTGCTTTTCATGCTAATCCCTGGCTCTTCTGTCTTCTTTGCTGGGTTCTTTTCAACCACTCCAAGCCCTCAAGATTGGAGGGATCCCGAGGTCAGCCTGCTCTCTTCCCTCCTCTAAAGTTCATCATAAGTGATCCCTTTAGGGTTGTGTTTTCAACTACCACCAAAGAATAAGTCGAAGAATAAGAATTTATATCTCCAAGAGAGGTCATTCTTCTAAATTCAAGAATCATACATCTAACTTCCTGACACTTCCACTTGGAATTTTTATGGACATTTCAAGAGTATGTCAAAAGTTAAGTGTTTGCTCTCTCCAAGCTCCCCCTCATCAGGCCAGCCTAACCCACACTGTAATCTACCCCCGCCTTTTCAGTGGCTTTCTCAATGTTAATAATAGAAGCTTAGCTTTCCCAACTGTTCAAGCAAAAGCTGTGAAACTCACTGGAGTCCTCTCTTTCTTTCATATCTTACATCTAAAGTGCTTGAATATAAATCTGGCATCATACCCTTTCTCATTACCTCCCTTGCTATTATTGCCCCAGTTAAATTTTATGGTTTATTTCATTAGCTTTCTATATGATTAGATGGCCAACCCCCTTCAGTACTGTCATTGTTACAACAGAGTAACCATGCTAAAATTTAAGTCTGACTAAATGGGAGGTGGAATAAAGTATCATATGCCCCTACAGATGTCCACAACTTAATTCCCAGAAGGTGTGAATATGTAACATTACATGGTGAGAAAATTAGGTTAAAGACAGAATTGAGGTTGTTAAGTAGATGATCTTGAGACTAGAAAGATAATTCTGAGTTATTCAAGTTGGCCCACAAAAATCATGAGGGTCCTCAGAAATGAATGAAGGAGGTAAGGGAGTGAGTATCAGAGTAATGAAGTGGAAAGAAAACTTGATCACATTGCTGGCTTTGTAGCTGAAGGAAGGGACCAAGGAATGAAGACAACCCAGAGAAGCCAGATGGTTCCCAATCACAGCCTTGCCTCACTGATTATAACCCAGTAGGACCAATTTCAGACATCTTACCACCTTATCTCAGTTTTGACGTCCAGTTACAACTTCTCAGATTTAAGATTTTGTTTTAGGTCACCAATTTGATATTAATTTAATAAAAACAGCCATAATAAACTAGCATAAATCAATACATATCCACACAAAATATGTATCATATATACTCTTGGTGGAATTCATAGGTAATAGTAGTTTTTCCAGGTGTGGCACTGCTATAATACGTGTATATAAGTAGCTAAAAAGACAAATGCTAACGTAAGTCAGGATTATTCTTTAAATTTATGAAGGGGGAAACTATACTATTAATAATGTTGCTTAATTTCATTAAAAAAATCATAGCCAGGGTGACAGATTCTGTAAACGTACTTCTATTTACTCTTCCTACCCCTGAAATTGTGCAATTGGTAAGTTACAGAAGAAATCACTCCAGGAGAGGGTTTATCATTAAATTGATTTTCCCCATACAACTTTTGTGTTTGATTCTAAATCCTCCAATTAGAGAAGGCAGGTAGGGTGCTATTTCAGTAGGCTATTCAGGTTTTATTCTATACTAAAAATAAATTTGAATTTGAATTTGGCAAAACCAGCACAGTAGAATATAAAGATGCCCACCACCGAATATTGACAGCCTATAAGACACCTGCTCTGAGGCCTGAGCACAAGAGCTATGTAGTCAAAGTTTTCATTGTTGTTGTTTTTTATGGAAAAAAGTAGAACAAGATTTAATAGCAATAGGAGAATAACAAAAGTTAATACATCACTTATAGTTATCTTTAAAGTAACTACTCAGAGTACACATTATAGGCATAAAAAATTTCTCCAAATGATATTAACACAGACCTTTATTTTAAATGAAGAAAAACTAGTATTACAACAATCTTGTATTTTTTCCCTTTTCCTTTCCTTCTTTTCCCTTTCCCCCCACATGATACAAATTTTAAGGAGAGAAAAATTGCTTTTATTTGGGCCTTTCTTACATTTCCAGACTCATTTGAAGGAAGAAACATATATGATAGCCTTTCGTTGTTTGTGCCCCTTTCATTCATCAAGGTTGATCTCTTTCTAAAAGCCACTTTTATGTAGGTAAAC